ACATATTTTTACGTTTTCTAGCAATACTAGGAACCTCTGTTCGGTGATATACAATTAGAGTCAGAGTGAGCTCTGAGCTGCTGATTGAGTATCAGAGATGCAAGAGGACTTGTAAGTAGCTACGGGCGTGACAGTTGCACTTCGAACAATAATAGAAAATCAGCACCGCGGCCATAGCTGTCTACAAATCCGTCTGATGTAGTCCATAACCTATATGTAGGAGCAGGTTGCACGGCGAAGCTAGATACCATACCAAGCCCCGACCCACGAACCTGAGAACCCGCCTGGAAACCTAGAAACAAGGCAGCAAACAGTCACCTGGGTGGTCCAGTACTCGCCCAGGTCACCTCCAGGACAACCAAAGGATCATAAACCTGACCTAGGTCAACTATGTATAGACACCTGGGTTGCCCTAGAGACACTAAGATCTGAAACATAGACATACAACCCTTTTCGGGAACTGACCCAGGTCGGTTGAACCAGACCGCGGCCGAGTAGAAACATCATGAGCGGCCATCGGTGGTGACTAAGAGCCTTGAGGATGACCGCGGCGGCCCACCCTGCTGTGGGGACACGTCTCAGCCAAGACCTCGGCGGTTTGCAAACACAGATCTCCACCCAAAGACCAATTCAAATATACCCAATTTGGAAGCAGCAGTCAGTCGCGCGCTGACTGACTGACTGACTGACGAGGTTCCCCAGCATTTCATTCTGTTTATCTGTTTATTTTCAATCTCTCTCTAGTTTACTTATCTCTCGTGACATTAGTATTTATCTAAAACTGTATAAAAGACCAAGTATTCCGCAATGACTGCAGTGCATCCCTGCCCTCTAGCCCCGACCCAGGTCAACACTTACCTAAAGGCCTCGGTGTATCTCAGACCAGTAGATGCGGAGATTTGTTATAAAACATTTCGATTGTAGTTCTCTGTTCAATAAAAGATCTCAAAGTTTAGTTGGTTATCAGAAAGTCATCTTAAGTGAGAGTTCACACAAAGGTACTATAGGACTGTGCTCCTAGGTCAGCTGTTGGAATTGTTCTTCGAGTTCGGTTGCAGTTCCCCAAACCCAAAGGTACTTCGGTAACAAAGCCAGAGTCCTTCAGTTGGAATTGTTCTTCGAGTTCGGTCGCTGTTGCCCCAAAGGTACCATAGGACTGTGCTCCTAGGTCCGCTGTTGGAATCGTTCTTCGAGTTCAGTCGCAATTGCAGTACAAGAGGTCCTGATCAGATCGTCTGTGCAAAACAACCCATAGAAACCGCATAAACTACCCCACCCAGGTAGCTTGATCAAAGACCGCGGTCACTCAAACCCAAAGGATATTGACCTAGTTGACTCGTTTTCTGAGACATCCCCCAACAAACAAGGACTGAGGAAGTTCAATCTTAGCTGTAAACTTCAGCACGACCCAAACTCTTTGTCGCACTGTGTTAGAGCTTAGTGTGTTGTGTGTGTGTTGTGTGTGTTGGTTGGTTTATACCATTTGCAGCCCTAGCAAGGACCACTATGAGTCTCAATGCACAAAACCTCAAGCAAATTTTCGAGGTTTCGATCGAGAGCACGTGGTGGTTTGTTGCCAAGAGGATCCCAGAATGAAGCTTTTGCCTGGGACAACTCAGAGCAGGGAAGTTTCAGACATGACTTCTTCCTGCCAGTGGAATTTCCAGTGGTTAAACACAAGGTCTGGGTAGAAAAGAGTATACCAATTCCTTGTGGACAGCTGGAAATGGTTTGCAAACTCATTGAGAGCAAAGTTGATGCAGGAGTCTATGAGCCTTCAAACAGCTCATACTGTACCAAGTTCTTTAGGGTTGTGAAGAAAGATGGCAAGAGCATTAGGCTAGTACACGCTGATAAGGCGTGCACCAGTGCACGCATGAAAATCACATTTTTCATTCATTTCAAAGACTTATCAATTGACTATGTGAGGCTTAGTTGCAGAATGTATGCTCTCCTCAGAACAGTACATTAGATCTTTGAAGGCCGAAAGCCAATGGGACACTACATTGTAGCGGCTGAAGATGGTTCGTTATCAACCAGAATCAGTACACTATACTTACTGTTGGGCGCCGGGAGTCAGCTAACCACTGGATTCCTTGTGTGCTGGAGATTAAACAAGAGGGATTATTGAAGTTTAGAGTAGCCGCTACTCGCGGCTTGGACCGTTATTGACACAATCTGTCAGAATTGAACTTGGATAATGACTTAAGGGAGTAGCCGCCACCCGGTTACCTTCATTTCAGTTATCCCCAATTGAATTATGAATGACTACTGAATATGACTTCACTGGCGGCTAGACTTCCAAAGTCGGCTAAACATAGATTATTGAGTAGCCGCCACTGAGCTGAATAACGATCAAGTGGTTGGAGCACCAGCGGCTACTTCCCTTGTGTTATATACCGAGCCGACGTGGGAAAGTGATCCGAAGTTCCGAGAAGACCGGAAGGACGGAAGAGCGGAAGTCAGTAGATATAGCGCAAGCACCACAGGAAGATAAGGGTGTGCGTACTACCCGTGCTGAAGAGGACGAAGTAGGAAGTCGGAAGTTCCGGTGAAGCCGGAACGACTCAGAGCAGAGCAAAGAGCAAAGCACGTTAATAATCAAACTGGAGAATACAGGCATAGTACATAAGGTTTATATAGTAGGTGAAGATAAATATCCTAATATGGTAAGACAAAGCGACTACCAAAAGCGGGACTTGAATATAACAAAGCGAAGTACATACGGAGACGGAGAAGACAGATGGATGAGATAGATAACGGATAAACGGGAAACGCTCAGTAATCCTTCATTGCGTGAAAACCCGATCAGCCGAGTCGGTCCGAAGGCGGACCGACAGTTTCTGAAAGACCGGACGCTCCGAAGGCCGGAGCTTCCGGTACAGACGGAAGGTCAATGTGCATGGATATAACACCTTGTGACTCCTAGAATTGAACTATGAAGTGTTGAAACCTCAAAACCGTCTCTGGCGGCCAGTGCGATACTGGCGGCTGGTGAAGCAAAGGTCCTAGCAAGGGTCTTCGGACCGGCGGCTAGACTTGGCAACACATGAAATATTGATGAGAATGTGTCAGACTGGCGGCCAGACCTGGCCGCCATGACTACGCACCCACGGAATTGAATAACGACTCTGCCATTGGCCGCCAGTCATTATGCCAAGCTGGCGGCTTGGTGAAAACTAACCACCGAGGTTTCATATTATCTCTGTTTGTAAAACCAAGTTGTATAAAGCTAGTAGAATTACTCTTGTAACAGTAGTAGACTTTCCCCCCGCTCACGGGCTAACAAGTAGACTGTGGATTTGATTGATATTGAATTTGGGTTGCCCGTAATAAGAATCGGATTCTCGTGACGCTTAAGCTCCGAGTTTCTATTAAGACTAGCTAGCCGCTTGAGTTCAACTCTGCCTAGCCTCTTCTCTTGAAGTGAATCCCAGATTGAGACTTCGTTGACGCTTTAGCTCCGAGTCGCACATGTTATTAACTAGTGCACCCTTGTACTGAGACGTTCAACCCTCCGAGCAGAACTATTTGAAAACATAGTGAATTTTGTTGACGCTTTAGCTCCAAGTTCCTTGAACATTTTGAAGTCCCAGTTGAAAGACACCACTTTGAGTCTAGCGGCCAAAGCATTTCCGTTGAATTGTGGCTCTAGCCGCTACTGCATCTGCCCGCTGAAACAAACCTTTGAAATTGAAACTTGACTATTCTTGAAGGATGATACGTCTGTCCTACCTCCCTGAACACACACGAGACATTTTGGTATTGAGTTGAGATTTGATTAGTGTTTTCTGAGTTGTTTAGTGTTAGTTGAGTTCGCTCGCTTTCACTCGCTCTTTAGCATAGTTTTCAATTTCACGGCTGCACCTGAGTGCACCGTTTCAACGCATCAGAACTGCTTAACGTGGTAACTATTGGCCATTCTGGGGTACCTCCAGCAACTGAAGAGCTGGTGAATCACTTTGCAGGAAGGGCCTGTGGTGCTGTGTTGGATCTATACTCTGGCTATAATCATTGTGACATTGCAGAGAGTAGTAGGGACTCCACTGCATTTAGTTAAGTTGCCTCAAGGGTGGACCAATTCGGTGCCTATCTTTCACAACAATGTTAGCTATATCCTAAGAGATGGGATTCCTCATGTCACCATCCCTTATATTGATGATGTCCCAGTCCGTGGACCAGGAAGCTGTTATCAAGATAAAGGAGGTAACTATGAGACTATTTCTGAAAATTTGGGAATCAGATGTTTTGTATGGGAGGATCTCCAAGACTTGAATCGAATAGTGCAAAGGGTGAAATATGTACATGGGACATTCTCTGGCACTAAAGTGCTATTATGCCTGGAAGAATTTCCTGTAGTCGGGCACATGTGTTCCTATGCTGGGAGGCGACCCTCAGAAGATGTTGTTGGAGCTATCATGAGGAGGCCTGCTTGTCAGGATGTCTCGGAAGTAAGGCAATTCATAAGAGTGGTTACCCAGGTAAGGATGTGCATTCAGGGTTTCGGAGAAGGCCCACCCACGTGTGTTGTGTGCTTCACTCGATCTTGATTCTGGACTCAGTGCTGCATCTTGGTTGGCGGTGCTCCCAGGTTTCTGGGGCTGCCAGCTCAAATTTGGAGTCTCTTCATGAGAATGGTGATTTGTCAATCTGAGTTGAATCTGAGAATAGATGAGTATGGAGCTGGGCAAGAGCTGGGCCAAATTTTGCTGAAGCTAAAAACAATAATTCTCTATTGTTTTTGAAACAGCTGTAATGGAATGCGTGATATAACGGTCATAATAGGTATGATGACTAACAGGCCTTTTTGGTGTGGTTTTTGAGCTTTTAAGTGAAATTGAAGCATGATGAGTAAAATTTCAACATCTCAGATGGAGACAACATTTTTCCAACTGTTACTGTTTATTGAACAATGTGGTGACTGTAAAACTAAAGAAAGTAGGTAGGATGTGTCACCTTTGAAAAGGATGTCGAGTAAACTTGGGACTAAGGAAAAAGAATGATGGCAGTGGGGTTCGAACCCACGCCCTTTCGGACTGGATTACGTAAGAAGTGCTGATCCGGGTTGATCCGGGTCCAACTTTACCTAATTCCAGCGCCTTAGACCACTCGGCCATGCCACCATTAAAGATCTTCATCCTCCGGGGAGGTAATGAGCAGTTGCAGCTGAAGAAAAACCAATCTTTTTGCTTGCTTTTTCTGCTTTTGACCAATTTTGACAGTTACAGCTTGACAGTTTGACAGCGACAGTGCTTCTGATCCGACTTTTGATCTTTGAATTGATGGCAAATACTAGTATTTACACTGATGCCCTGCAACCGGTTAGCAGTCTTAAGTTGCTCTGAAGTACGAGTCTGACTGTCTAGCACAGGCATCATATTCTCAGTTGATGTGAGACGAGGTGTCAGTGAGGGCACTGCTATTGACCTTGCTTTGCTTTTGACTGTGCACTGCCATTGTCTCGTATTATGGCTCAAACTGCTTAATTTGAAGTGATCTGAAATTCATTGTGAAGTTGAACTTGAGGTTGAAAAGACATGGTATGCAGTATGGATTAAAATAGAACTGGAAAGTTCAAGGGTATCAGGTCCTGCTGGGCAGCACCTGGATGCTCTGATGTACATGTTTGCAGTTCAAGCACCTCAGGTCTGAAACATCCTCATTATAAAACTTAGTAATTGCACACAATGTTAACCAATTTCTTCATTCTTCATGAATGCCAGAGATGTCTGATCAAGATCTCAGGGCTGATGCAAGCCCTACCAGCAAAAGGACACAAGAAGAGCTATTCTATGCCAAGATTGGTCAACACATCTTTGACATCTCCTCTTGCCTCTCGATCGGTGGGTTGGAATTAGATCAGTGGGCTGGAACCAGTTCTGTCGAGGTGATCATCGACCAGAATACAAAAACAGTATCTATGTACACCAACAGATCTGCACAGTAAGACTGTGTCACAATCTCGACCTCCTTGATAGAACACCTGGACCGTTGAGTGGTTTCTGGAGTCTGAATAAAATTGTTGGGGATCCCCACGCTGTTGCAGTATAGATTGGCAAGCAATAGGTCATGCATTTCAGTCTCTCAGGGTGGATGTGATGATACCTTGGGTATTCTAGAAAAGCTCCAGCAGTTTGTATACTTTCACTTGACAATGCTGGACTTTGCTGAGAGCAGAAGCTTCATTCAGACTCAAGAGTCGAGCAGTGGATGGGTGAGGATAACATTTGGTGGGCTGGGCACAAAGGGAGGAAGCATGAGAAGGAGCTGATGTGATGAGATCAATGATGCACAGAGACAATGGTACATAGATGGTTTTCATTGCAATACACTGGGTCCCATGGGGCCAAAACACGAAAATGACTTCAAAAAAGAAAAGAGTCAGAGAAAAATGAGAGGAATTTGAGAAACCTGTCCTCAGAGCCCATTGTGATTTTTCAACACTCAGCTCATACCTATGAACTTCAAAAGGTAGGTATGTATGCATTTATTGAGAAGTTGTGAGACCATGATTTGAATGTGCTAAATATTTCTTTTGACCATCCTTCACATTTCTTGAAGAAGATTTTGATGAGACCATTTGACATGATAGCTTTCCCCTTGATCTTTACCATGGAAGAGAAAGCACAAGAAAATGCCTACTCTGTGGCTGCAAAATTAGGCTGACTCAAGCAGTGTCTGTGTTGACTAGCTTTGTACTCATCTCCGAGTCGTTTGATACATGCACCATTAAAGTAGAGTGACATCAAGAGTCTAAAGTCACCACAAATTTGGCTATCAGACAAGCTTCTTTCCATATAGTGCTCTGAACATGCACCAAAAAGTCTTGAACTCGCTTATTCAAGTGTTGTGTCCTCTCCAAGATGTAAATTTTGCATGTAACTCATTGGGACATAGCGGACTTGAGGTGAGGACTTGATTCTCTTTCCATTCAATGGTATCTTCTGTGCTATCTCAGTGTGTCAAGAGATATGCAGTGGACCTTCACCTTTTAAATCACATTCAAGGCCCAGACATGGTGCAGTACAATGTCTTGTGGCACCTTTTCCTCATCCGGAACTCTGAAAGCCACATCCAGAATCACATCACATCTACAGTTGGATTTCTCATAATGCATTAGCTCACAATGCATAAAGCTCATTTTGCATTGGATTTGCCGGTCCACCAACTTTGTAGTCACTTTTACAACCAAAAATATGCATAATAGGGTGTTTCAAATATGCCAACTTTGGTTCCAACTTTGTGTCCAACTTCGCTCCCAACTTTGCAAGAAGTTGGAACATGAAATAGGCCGGAGAAATTAGTTGGATGTCAAATCATGGTCCGGATCACGACTTGACATCCAACTTCGTCTCCAACTTTGTGTTCCAACTTCCTCCGTCTCATTTGGAGAGCTTCTTGTGCTTCCCAGTGCAAAATTAGGAAAAGTTACACACAAAGTTGGGAGTCAAGTTGACATGAAATCGGACCAGAAGTTTGACCGAAATTTTCATATTTGAAACACCCTAATGCTCATTTCACATATTGCATACGATTTTGGGTGAAATTTATGCATTTTTTGAGGAAATATCAAGATGTGGACACCTTTTGGAGGTCAAAATTTGGTCCAAAAGTCCCAACAAAAAGGCAAACACGCTTCCAATTTCTGGAGGGACCGTGGAAATGAGGTGTTTGTGGCCAGCCCCAGAACCAAACATGTCAAGGAAAATTTTCTCATGTCAAGGAAAATTCTCTGCCTTCTCTCGCTATGCCTGCTGAGGCTAAGACACGCAAGCCTCGCCCAGCACCCTCAAAACCATATCTGCAAGGCATCCGGAAACCACCCAAAGATGCACCTAGAACTTTGGCCAAACCGGCTAAAGATACCCGAAAACCACAGCTTACACTCCATGATTGGATGACGGTCTACAAGGCCCCCGGGCACTACCTATAAGGTTGGTCCGCTTTTTACGAAAAATTTCCGCTGATTTACTCTATGAAAATTGAATTCTGGCCGCTGATTTACTCTATTTCGGAGCAACCATTAGGGGGTAAATGTCAAATTTTCTCCCCGAAGGCCTAATTTTACCACTTCCAGGCCATTTCCGCGTTTCTTGACTTGATAATTCACTGCATCAGTCGACAGCGAAATAATTTTGTCAGCCATCTCGAGATGTTTCTGGCTTCCTCAGGCTACTTATACCCCAAAAGATTCTCGCGCTCCGCGCGATTTACTCTACGCCGACGGACCCGACCAGATTCTGGCCTGATCTACTCTATATCTAGGGCCAGGGTAGGGGTCATTTTCAGGCCTTCATTTACGCTACCGCGGAGCAACCTTATAGGTAGTGCCCGGGGGCCTGGTCTACAGCTTCATCGACAGTCACTCGGACATGACCCAAAAGGAGATTGCAGCTCATTTTGCCGGCTTGGCAGTTGGCGCTCTAGAGTTTTCCCAGGAAACATTATCACCGAAACTCAGAGACCAGTTGGAAATGGAGCAACACGTCAATAGCAACCCAAATGCTCTGTCTATGAAATGAGAATGGTGACGAGGCCAGATGTAGAAAGGGCTCTTGTTCTCTGGATGGAGCATATTGCAAGGTACCCTTTTTACTTACTTTAGTTACTCTTGCGCTATGATTGGTTACAAGTCACATGTCCATGTATTATGTAATCTATCTACACTTACACTCAAACCACCGTCGTCTTTCAGCCTGCAAAGCCTATCCAATAGCCTTACTCGTCGAGGGATCTCCGAGAAGAGGCAATTGGAAGCAGGCACTAGGCGACACCATCTTATATTCTTACTCTATCATTGCGCTGCACCTCTATTGGTGCTTTTGAGTGCTATTTGCACCCACAGCAGTCTACTGGAATTATCTGTAGACTGCTAGCTCATTTCAACCAGAGCTATCAAACCCTATCTGAATCCCTCTTTACATAGGTCTTGCACCTTTGGATTCAAGCCGTTGCCAGCAGGCAACCACTCAGTAACACGTTTACTCCCCGCCAGGGTACACGTACGATGAGTCCCCTCGTAGGCTTCATATAAGTCTTACAAAGTGGACAAACTGGGAACCGTCGTTACCTCCTGGCCGGTACCCTCCATTTAGATTTCACCATGCCTGACCATCACCTCAAAGACTTGTGGTCGCAGTTCAATACTTCTGAAGATCCCACTTCAGGCATTCTCTCCCTCCGAGATTCATGCTCGGCCTTCACCAGCTTCCACCTGGAGCCATCCCATATTGTATTGGTTCAGGGAAGCTTCACCCTTCACCCCCATCTCGTTCCCTCACTAACATGTGTCATTGCCTTGACGGAGCATTATCTTTGACTCGCTGCTCAATTAAATGATCTTTGTCACGCTCCGTCGATTGGTCGAAACAATATCCGCATTCTCTCAGATACTACAGGTTTACACGCTTGCTACACACGGAGCCAAATCGTCCTTGCATGGGTCAATGTAATGGATCGACTCGAGCTTGCTCCCTGGCAGCTCAAACACCTCACGGTCGGCCACCCAATCCACCACGAACACTCGCAGTCGAAACTTCCGGAGGCCATAACATGTCTCGACGAATCCCTGTGCGGCCTGCTCCCCACGGCCTGGGTCGAATCCCTCCAAAACCCTTTCATCGCAAAACGCTACGCACGCGCGAGGTCGAAGGGATTCACAAACATCCGTTCGCAAGCTGTTCGGCTCAAACTGGTCAATGGGAGGATAACGACTACACAGGTGCAGACACGTTCGCGGGAGGCCGGGGGGCAGACAGAAAGTGTTTGCATATCAGCTGAGTCTAGTAATGTTATGCAGAAGACATGGTCACTCACCAGTGGTGCCCCTTCGGACTCAAGTCCCACGCTCACTCTGTCTGCCTCTTGCACTCGTTCATCCGCTCCATCTCCTGCTTCGCCATCGCCTGCAGAAATCCCTCCTTTGCCCCTGGAATCGCAGCGCTCGAACAGCGTGGGGAGATTGATGCCAGCACGGCAAAGAGGGCAGATTTGTGCACCCTGCGCGCTGCCGAAGCGATGTCCTTCGTCACAGGCATTCAATCCAAGTGCGTTCGGGACCAGGTCGTCAAAGTCGCCGAGATACTGCTGCTGCAAGACATTCCTCTCACTAATGTAGACACTG